CCAGGATGTGAAGAAATACCCCTTTTAATAGCGATTTCAGTGCGTGTGAGAGCCCGAGTGTGAAGAAACACCCCTGTAATACTGATTTCAGTGTGTGGGAGAGCTTGAGTGTGAAGGAACACCACTTTAATAGTGATTTCAGTGTCTGTGAGCCCGATTTTGGAGCAACAACCCCTTTAACAGTAATATCACTGTGTCGGAGAGCCCGTGTGTGAAGAAACACCCTTTTAATCGTGATTTCACCGTGTTGGAGAGCCCGAGTGTGAAGGAACCCCCCTGTAATAGTGATTTCAGTGTGTGTGAGCCCCATTGTGAAGGAACACTCCTTTAATAGTGATTTCAGTATGTGACTGAGCCCGGGAGAGAAGGAAGACCAGTTTAATAGTGATTTCAGTGTATGTGAGCCAGATTGTGAAGGAACACACCTTTAATAGTGATTTCAATGTGTGTGAGCCCCAGTGTGCCGTAAGACCCCTTTAATAGTGATTGCACTGTGCGTGAGAGCCCGATTGTGAAGAAACACCCCTTTAATAGTGATTTCAGTGAGTGTGAGCCCATGTGTGAAAGAACACACCTTTAATAGTGATTTCAGTGTGAGTGTGAGCCCACGGGTGAAAGAACATACCTTTAATAGTGATTTCAGTGTGTGTAAACGCAGTATGAAGGAAGACCCCTTTAATAGTGATTTCAGTGTGTGTGAACGCAGTATGAAGGAAGACCCCTTTAATAGTGATTTCAGTGTGCGAGAGCCCGAATGTGGAGGAACACCCCTTTAATAGTGATTTCAATGTGTGGGAGAGCTTGAGTGTGAAGGAACATCCCTTTAATAGTGATTTCAGTGTGTGGGAGAGCTTGAGTATGAAGGAACATCCCTTTGATAGTGATTTCAGTGTCTGTGAGCCCGATTTTGGAGCAACAACCCCTTTAACAGTAATATCACTGTGTCGGAGAGCCCGAGTGTGGAGGAACACCCCTTTAATAGTGATTTCAGTGTGTGTGAGCCCGAGTGTGAAGGAACACCCCTTTAATGGTGATTACACTGTGTTGAAGA